TACTGATAGAACAACACAGCAGACACCTCAATGTCTTGGAGGAACTGTGATTGATGCTCACGCTCGTCACTTCGTTGTCTTCTGCCATCCTGCCAGCTTTTAGCAGTGATAATAAGAATAATCCTACGATAGCAGATGCTCAGCTTGCACTGAATGGGAACCAAACAGCTGACACAAGACTACTGTCCATAAAGCTCATGTTTAGATGGCTCCATTGATGGTTTCCGAAGCCATGTCTCCACATCCATACGACAGGTGCAGCATGTCTAGACTCCACAAAAATGCACGGCAGCTCAGCAGGACAAGTCACGGCAAACACAACACCGACCACTGGGAAACGTCAATGCCGTCCTCCAGAAACCAAGTCACTACGTGGCCAAGATCAGCCTCCATGATGCAGCCAATCTAGTCTTTTAGATCAACTTCTGGCAGATTATCGAACTAAATCGCAGCGTGGCCGCAACACACCACCGCAATGTAGTCAATGTCACCCAGCATAGGAGTCATCGGCAAAGCATGAAGCCAATACTTAGCATTGCATTGACCGACCACAGCGACACAGTCAACATCAGCCACCAGAGACATTGTAGACGGTTTCACTCACTCACAGTCATGGCCGAGCATGACGACAATGAGCGGCAGCTTAGCTCGGGCCCTCGGGCTCGAGCAGCCCGAGGAAGAAAATGACGTGGTCGAAATACGAACAGCCGACCCACTGCAAGGGTGCAGTTTCTAGTCTCTTTTTTCACTATGGCACATACCCACTTCAAGCATAATTAATCATCATCGTCAGTCACTGCAAAAAATTACACAAAATTCTTAAGTGTGTAGCAAATACCACGCTTCTTTAAAGAATGAGGAAACATAGCATAGTGATTGCTGGCCTACTACACAAAAATTATGATTAAGGTGTAGTGGGTACCCAGCAGTGTGCCTGTAGCAGTTGCCCAAAGAGCGTTTAGAAAAGGCTCTGAAAGGCCGCTCTTCTAGCTTTCGCTGTAACTGTGCTTCGTGTACTGCGCAGGCCTGCCGTTTTTTCTTTTAACCCCATAATGACCACACTGTAAACTTAGCACAAGAAAACCAATAATGATTTTCAGGTTCCCACAAGCAAAAGCATGGCTTTTAAGATCCGTATTTCAAAATGGTACTTTAAGTATTAAAGTCTCCGAAATTTGCGCTGCTTAGAGCTGTTGTCTTTGCTCACTGCAAAACGTGCTTGTATGCTGCGCTTCCTGTGGTCCAACAACCTACCTTGTGCTTACGCAAAGTGCTTACAATGCCATCAAGATACCAAGATTTCTTAGCTGCCACTCTGCATGTGATTTCAGCGTGTAAATGCATCTAGATATCCCTTCAGTACTGTGTGATAGAAGTTGCTTTCACTGCACAACAATATTCGAACAACAGTCAAACTTTTATTCGGCAAATTTAAATTTAGCAAATTTGCAATGTAACAAGCTATATTCAGTCCCAAATCATAGCTCCATTGGAAATCAATGGCTTTATTTGGTACAGCTCAGTACAGCACTTTGTGCCACAGTTTTATTCGAAGGGGTACCGACACAAAACATCGCGGACGAGATAACCTGCAAGACCGATTCCCGTGAACACTCGTGAATCATCCGAAAAGCATCAACAGCGAATATAGCTTGGAAAGTAACTTGCAGCATTTTTAATTTTTAAGGCATTAACACCATCGAAAGGGACCCCATGGGGACACCATTACTTCCCACATGTCATCATGCTGTGGTCAATAATACAAGTTATAATTATGTCGCAGCCCCCGTTTTTTCTTGCTGCGTTTGTTCCAGCAGTCAGTAGTACTTCTCGGCGCCTGCTCCAGAGTGCGTGGCTATGGCGCAAGCGCTCAAAATTTTGGTTTTTGGTAAACTGCAGTCCCGTTTCCTATGCGAAAGGACTTCATGCGAACTACACAGAAGTGCATCACAGTTCTGTGTTCTGACGTGGTCGAGATCCACCCCCGCTAGGTGGCGATAGTTGAACTCGGCAGCTTGTAGTTTTTGGAGCTCTTTCAAACCAAAACTGGTCGATAATGAGGAGCCTGTAAGCAATTATCTGTCGCATGCTGCAGCAAACGATGGGTCGTGTTATGGCGAACAGGCTCCCGTCAACATGTTGCAGCAAAAAAACACGAGGCCAATGTTTTTGTATCAGTAACTCTTTAAATGAATCACACATTGCATACATGCATCTGGTCCTACTATGATTGATAATTGAAAGTCGGCTGCAGAACAATCGTCTGCTGCAAAAGGGTGGCCAATGTCGCTACACTGTGCTACAAAAGATCTCCCACATTGTGAGTTGAAGAAGCTGGCCATATAAGCATCAAGACTTCAGTGTGATGCCTACACTGACAAGCATGGTGGCGAAAATTATAATTGGAAGAATAGAGTGAAATTTGCCACCTAGCTATTGCTTTTTATTTTATAAAAGCTAACTGCATCTTTTAACTTGCACTGTGGTCAAGGCCATGCTGTGCCTTTCAGTCATAAAGGTCAAGCAAACGATGCTGTGAACATTCACACCATGCCTCTAAAAGACATGGAGATGTAATGGCAGCCACCAACAGATGAGCAAGTACGACTTAAGAAAGGGAAAGAAGACAACCACTTGCTTGTAGCACACAGCCACAAGAAAATTCATACAAATTTTTCAGAAAGAAAAGTTTCTCAGTTACCGAAATATTCCCGCTGGTCCAGGGCTCAAACCTGGGACCAACTTGTGTCCATGTGCTTGGAGTTGTCTATGAATTCACCCTTGTCCTGTCAATCACTAGCTTTCTGGTTAGCTCAATTATTAGAGCGACCGCCCCGGACAGGCGTTGGTCCCAGGTTTAAATTCCGGACCCAAATGAAATTTTCGGCAACCAAGAAGCTTTTCTTTCCGAGAAATCCGTACAAATTTTCTTGTGGCTTCGTGCTACCAGCACGTTGAGGGCTTCTGCAGAACTCATTTGCAACTACTACAACTTAGCCAACAATTTTATTGCAATAAGCATCACCAACTATCTCCTCAGTACAGGGCTTAATTAATGCCAAACAGTGCTTGGAGGGGAGACCGACACGTAGGTTTAGGTGCATGTTAAAGAACCTCTGGTGGCCGAAATTTCCGGAGTCCTCCACTAAGCCCTCCCTCGTAATCATATCATGCTTTTGGGATGTTATAAACTGACACCGCAATTATCAATATTTTATCAGTGTAGGGTAAGACAGCTCCAAAGTAAGTATTTGAACTTGCTAAAATTATTTCTATGGGGAGTGCGAGATGTACAGACACAATTTTGTGGGCAAGATAGCCTGTGGGATCGATTTTCGTGAACAAGTGCATATAATCTGCAATATAACAGCAACTGTGGCTTTGCAAGCATTTTATATGAATATTGGAGTTGGTGTCCACGATCTAGCACTGTAATTGACACATCACGGCATTGCCACCCTCAAAAGAGATTCAAAGGGACCCCCTTTACTTTCTCCTCATCGCCACGTCATAGACATCATTTCTTTTTGGGCGACTTTTCCATCAGCAAACTATTACTCATTGGCCACTCGCGAGCCCGTGACATCAGTATACATGTTGAAATTTTTGTGTTTGGCGACACTGCTTTGCCAACTTTCTGCTAAAAAAGATTTTTTGATGCGAACTGTGCAGAAGTGCATCACAATTCTGCGTGCTGATGTGGTCGAGCATTGCATATGCTATGTAGCGATAGTTACATTCAGTGACTTGTTGTTTTTGGAGCTCTCTCAAAGAGAAACAGACTAGTCGGTACTGAGCAGCCTGTAATGAGTTATTTGTCGCTAGTTGCGGCACAAGACATGCCACATTACAACTAACAGGTCCCCAGCAACACATTGCTATAAAAAAAAGCATGGCCAAAATTTGTGTCAGTTTGTGTCAAAATTTGTGTCAAAGCAAAAACATTTAGGCAATACAAAAGAAAAACAAAAAATAAAGAAGAAAAACATTTAAGGAATGTAAAGCAAAATAAAAATTCTGCTTCTATTCCACCCTGTAAAAGTGGATGAACAACCAAGCTGTTATATAAGCACAAACAATACCATAATTGACATTTGACAGGCATCACCACCCCAATAGATGTTGACATTGAACACCAGAATTGACGGTTTAATACTTTTATTTTTTGTGGCTTTTGAGTAATTATAGCGATGACCACCTTGTGGCCATGATATAGAGAGACAGGTTCAGTGACCGAATTCGACAAGTTCATGGCCAACATCAAATCTAAGCATGATTTGTTACATGGCTGGTAGCTGTGGGTTATTTCCATAACTCGCAGTACATGCCCGCATACTCACAGCCAGGGGCATAGGCAGAAATTTTGTTTTGGAGGGCAGAGAGGGGGGGGTTGCACCCATTGATCTGAAGTAGGGGTAGGCAAAAGTGGTAGTGTAGTTTTGTGCCCCATCTGCCATGGCAAAAAAAAATGTAATGGGGGGGCACGAACCCGATGTACCACATCGTGGCTATGCCACTGGCCACAGCTGAGGTATGCAGGTATAGTTGGGAGGGGGTATGTCTTACTAGTACATATTATTAGAAGTCCAGAGGTGTCAACCCATATGTCTACTTTTCCAGCTGCCATATAAACTCCGAGAGGCCACTGTCACTTTGTTTTTCCATCAATTTGAAGGTACCGTTGTTTACTGATGACAATCTTGTTGGGAAAAAAATGTTGCAAGAAAACATACCAACTAGAGGCTAACAGTTTCACTGCAAAAAAGTGAAATATGTCATGTTGGAACCTTTTTAGCAGAATGCGTATCTTTCAAATAATAGGAACAGGCTATTACAAAAAGGAAAACAAGACAGTCGACCATTTCAAGCAACCATCAATTGGTCTAGACTTTTTTTGCACCAAGCTGCATTTAGACATTTAATAGTGGAATACAAGGTCTAATTACAATGCAGTTTAAGAACACTACACGCATTTCATTTATGTTTTAACATTTACTTACACACTTCTTTGCTGCCTGCCGCAATTCTGCCTTATGTCCAAGCAGCTTTTCTATTTTCCTCTGTACTGGGACATAAGACATTGGTATCACCTCGACAGGAATGCCCTTCTTCCAGTTTTCCCCAAGCGTAGAGGAGTCTTTTCTGCATAAAAATAGTAAAGCAGATGCAACTCTTGCAACTCTTGTGAAGCAAAGCAACCTTAGTGAAAAATTGTTCAGTGATGTCTGCCACCAACAGTTATCCGGTAAATGGAATACGAGCACTATAGCATGATACGACTAGCTAAATACTATAATTGCAGTGGAACATCATTTTTATGAACATCAGTATTCATTAAATGGTACTACAGCTAAATCTCAATAAATAGTAAAGTTGCTCTTTCCGATACTAAGTGCCCGAGTCAGTACCGAGTCCGCCACGACAGTGCTCCTACATGCACCGTGTTTTACAGCCCATACAAACACCTGCCACCATATGCTAGCCGTCTTATATACGCACTTGCCAGCTGCTGCGCCCTGCGAGCTTAATGCGTCAGCAAACATTGCATCACACTGAGCGAATTAAGAGTGCTTCAAAATACGCTATCTCAATGTGGCCAGCATACCAGATCCTGGGCTAAGACGAGGATTTTTTTCTCCGAAAAGCATGTGTGGATTTCTTTCTGTAGCTTGAGACTGCAGCTGAAGAGATTTTTTTTTCCTTTATGGGTATCCTGCTGCTTGTGGTGCAATATATTGTTAGGCTCGCCATGGTAACCTTTTTCTTCATGTTCACAGTTCTTCGAAAAATCGCCAAAAAAAAACAAAAAAAAAAACAAGTTGTTCATGAGAAAATTCACTGCCTGGAGGATGTGATGAATATTCAATGACGAAAAATGGTGAAGTATTTGCTCTAGGCATCAAGATCGTGGAAGAAATACAGCCCTTCTGTGTTGCAAGAGAATATGTAGAAAACAAACTATGTGCATGAGATGCAAAGTGTGCTCAACTAATTGGTTTCCAAGCAGTAGCACTATATCAGCAGTGCTTCATGCAGTCTTGATTTAAAAAAAAAAAAATCGCACAATAGCAACATACTAGAATGCCATACAAAGTAAGGCTTGTAGAAAAGTCCTTTAGCATCTAAGGTGGTACAAGTCAATAAAGCAATGGTTTCAAGTTTCAAGTTTTATTATTTTCAAAAACAAGGTACAAAATTTAAGATATACAGACGAGGGACCCAGACCCAGAGACTTTAGTGGGACCCTTTTATTATTTTCAAAAACAAGGTACAAAATCTAAGATATACAGACGAGGGACCCAGAGCCAGAGACTTTAGTGGGACCCTCGGTTTGTCGATACAAATTGACGGTAAAATTTATACAGAGCAACAGAAAATTCTTACAATATACGGACATCAAAATGCACTTTTATATCACAAATCAAGCCAAAACATGCAACATGGTATAAAAAAAACGAAAAACAAACGAGTCAAACAGATAAACGATCACAAGTAAGGTTATTCGAGAAAATGATTTTTGACGGACTTTTTGAACAAAGGAATTGAAGTGCAATGCTTAATGGTAGAAGGTAACGCATTCCAAAATGATATCGCACTGAAAGCGGAAGGTTTTTGCCCATAATTAGTATGAGCGGGGGGTAACAGGAAATTTTTATCAGCCGCAAACCTGGTCACATTATTATTCTGCAAAAGATCAGATGTAATAAATGGGAATGCGAGTTGATTTTACAGCAGTTTGTGGAATAAGGTCACAAGATTTACCCGGAACAAAAGATTTACTGGCAAGATATTGTAAGAGCGTAGTAATGTGTAGGCGTTCGATTGCAAAGAACTAGAAGTGAAAATGCGAATTGACTGATTTTGAATGAGCTGTATTGACGATAAATGACAAGCATAAGTGTTGCCCCATGAGACTACACCGTAAGTAATACGACTATGAATGAACGCAAAATACAGCGCCAGTAGAGCTTCACGGGAAAAGAAAGGACGAGCTTTGATTAATGTGCGCATACCAAACGCCGTCTTCTGCTTAAGATGGTTAAAGTGACTGCGAAAGGTAAGGCATGGGTCAAAATGTATGCCAAGAAAGACATTAGAACAAGCAAAAATGAAATGAATACCTAGTTGTATTTAGGGAATAGCAGATAATGACCTCTGAGCACTTTTAAACACCATAAATTTAGTTTTTGTGGGGTTGGTAACTAAGTGATTGCTACTGCACCAATTCATAAAGGCACTTAATGCAAGATTTAAATTAGAAACAAGAGCATCAATGTTTTTATCAGATGAAGATATTGTTGTGTCATCAGCATATAAAACACAGTGACCACAGTCAAAAGAGCTAAGAACATCACGAAGATCATTCATATATAAAATAAATAGCAAAGCACCCAATACTGAGCCCTGCGGTACTCCTTGGTTAACATATTTTGTTGTAGAGAAGGTGTTTGCGGTGTGTACTGTCGGTCAAGTAGGTAATTTTTTAAGAATGTAAGCGCAGGGCCTGTTATTCCATAGGACTAAAGTTTATGCAATAAGACGATGATTTACAGTGTCAAAGACTTTAGCGAGATCTAAAAAAAATCGAACCCACTAAATTTCCGGAATCGCTACTTTGCTTTATGTAATCAGTTAGAGACAGCACAGCTACACTTGTTGACCTACCTGGACGGAAACCAAATTGGCCGTCTTTAAGCAATTTAAATTTAACTAGATATCCATTCAGACGTTCAACAAACAATTTTTCGGCTAGTTTGCTGAGGCAGGAAAGAATTGAAATTGGATGGTAGTTGGAAACTGTTTGTTCATTGCCTTTTTTAAAAACTGGAATTACTTTAGCTTTAACTGTGTAAGGAAACTGTGTAAGGAAACTTGGCAGCTGCACAAGCAAAGGGACCTTAATCCTGTATATCACTTAAATGCAAACTGAGCGATGAAAAAAATAGCACTTTTAAAGGTATGAGCCACAAGTTGGTCCCCGCCAAGATAAAATACCATAAAAACCTGAATATAGGTCACCCCCCCCCCCCCCCCTTTAAGATTCTTAAAATTTTCTTTTTCAGAGATTCAAAGTATTGAGGTGCACCCATACCTTGGCAAATACGTGACACAACCAGCTGCATTGTGGTGACATTTGTTTCTACTTGGACCCTAATCTTGTGTAGTTACCCAAGAAGGTCACAATGTGCTCCCACTCAGACTCGTTCGAACTCGAGTCCGACGACGTCTGTTTTTCACTAGAATGTCCCAGAGTGCATCGTACTCCATTCCATCCAACGCGTTACTGATGCAGCATTTGCGGGAAGACAGAAGAACGCCTCCTCAGTAAGAAGCTATCCCGCTTTATAAATCAACACACCCCCAATGGCGATCCCTTGAATTGTACCCTCTGGAGCCCAGAGTCATGTGCTATGTTGAGAGCTTTCAGAAGGGCGAACATCGCTGTTACGGGTAGCAACCTCGCAAGTAGCTCTCGGACGAATTCAGCGAATAGTGTTTCCAGTTTGGGGTGCACTGCAGTCCGTCCACAAAACAATTTTTTGTTGTTGCAGGATGTGATGCACTGCTTTTGGCTCCTCCAGTATTGGATGCTTTTCTTTGATGCACCAAATTTCCATTGTGCCCCCAGGTTGCCGTGCGCTTCGGCCTACTCGATAACTTTTTTTCTTCAAGCCTATCGTAAACTGCCATCGACTGCCACTCATTTCAGAAGGAAAAGGAAAACAGCAAATAACAGAGGCAAAATGACATAGCTAGAACACTCTAGGCCTTGCCCACGATCTACTGTATTTCTGACCTGCCCAGCAAGCGAGCGCCAGCACGCCCGTTCTAGTACAAGCACCTACCGCTATAAACTCTGCGGCACTGCAACTTTCCCTATTTACCCCATCCGCACCGGCTGGTGGCAGCCGCAACATGTGCCACCGCACTTTCTCTCTCTCTCTCTCCTTTTTTTTTCCGTCTGCTTGAGTCATTTACAAAAGAATTTTCTTTGCAAGCTGGTACACGAACTGATGATGATCATTGGGGTTTTATGTCCCAAAACCACGACATTATTACAAGAGACATCGTAGAGTTCTGAAAATTTTCACCATGTGGTGTTCACCTAAATCCGAGAAGTAAGCGCGCCCGCTGCTCTTGCACCTTGTACGGAGAGGAGGCGTACTCGGCCAAGAAAAGAAACAAGCCGATGAACAGAGCATAGCGAAGCAACTCAAGAGCGAAATGAGCGATAACCACTCTCATATCATCAAACACAGAAACGGGGGAGAACCCCTCTTGTACCATCAAATACGTGTAACTCCTACATTAAGGTAGTGTTTCGAAACATTTACACGGCCATGAGTTAGTTCGTTGTAGGCTCTTGCACGTGCAACAACACAAATCTCGACCGCTGGGTATGGTTTAGGGGCTCTTAGGAATCAGTTACGGAACTGTTGCATCGCTCAGGAATGCAATCAGTTGTCAATTACAGTAATATTTGCAGAGACCCATAAAGTTGTATGCTCTCTTTTGGAGATTATTCTAGAGGAAGGTATCTGGCAATATATCTCGAGTTATGTTTCTGCAAGTTCAGCTCGCTTTCTTTAAGAATGAAAACCCAGTTCTCACTCAAAGATGCTGCGCAGATTGAGTATTTGGCAGCAGAAAAATTCAAATGAGTTGGCCTTTTCAACAGACGTAAAAGATCAGGTTGTCTACCAATTTGGTGTTTCTAAATTCCCCGACTTTTCCAGGTTTTCCAAGATAGTGAAAAAGCAAATTCCATGACCGCCACGTCTGCTTGGAAAACTCTGTGCACTGGAAACAAACCCTCGAGCGATTTAAAAAAAATCTGGCACTGCATATGAAATAAGTAAACATATTTACCAGACGCACACAAAGAATGTTCCGAGTGCGTGCGGTAAATGAGAAAAAATATGTATATCTGGCCAAAATAAAACTTCTGAGCCAGGCAGTGAGCAAGTCAGCTGTTTGATGTTCAGAACAACCAGGAAGCAAACGTACAAGTTAAAAGTACCTGCAGATGAAAGTTTGAAGGAGCTTCCGATATTCCAACATCGCAGTCAAAGATGCTAGAAAACCTAAAAGTGGTGCAATCTCATGGCATCCGTGAAAAATGAGGACACGGGAGCCTGACCGGTTCTGCCACTGGAGTACAATGTATTTTACTATAATGGCTGTAGCCCATACCGCTTAGGATGTGGATTAGAGTGAATTGCATCAACCTGAACTTATATTTACAGACAACTATTTAGGATGTGGATAGGATTAGATCCGATTCAACCTGGATTGCTGTATTTGCTATTGATTTTATTGATTTGTGTCCCCGCCTAATTTGCGCACCTTTAAAATATACTTTTCAGGAAAAAAAAATGAGTAACTACTTCTCGTGTATTCTGTGTATCGCACCTTGCCAACAAGTAACGTTGCAAGAACAGAGCCGTACTGCAAAATTTTCTTTCTTTTATTTTTTTCAACGAGCACATGCATTTTTGTATGATATGTCTCTGGCGTCTGATACTTGAAGTGCAACGAAAGTCCTCGGATGGCTGCAATGAAAGCTGGGGACAGCGTTTAAAGTGCCGATGTCTGAATATGTGGCAGCAAGACCGAATTTGTCAAGGTGCAACAGCTTCCTTGATTCCACAGAAGAATCGCGAATTTCGGCACGTTACCTCAATTTACGTACTCTGCTGTGGACGTGACGCTGAAAAATAATTGCAGATTTGTTTACACAATCTCTCGAAACTGAAATGAGAAATTTAGCTGAAGTCACCCAAGTGCTACCCTTGAACATGAGCTACCAGCAATAAGTGTGTAGCTGAGGACGTTCGCTGTTGTGTCGCCAATAATAATAGTAATAATAATAATAATAATAATAATAATAATAATAATAAAAAGGCATGGGGATATCGACAAGCTTCTGCCGATGGCAGTTCTAGCCTAGACAAACCAGACGGCCTTTAAGCCAAGCCAAGCCGAAATCGTGGCGTAGACAAACATGCATAAATTTACACACGTGAGTAAAGTTGTGGTTCAGAGTCAGATGTGCCATGTGATATGTAGAAGCAGCAGACATCAATATAGTGGATGTGCCAATGTGGAAGCTAAGGAATGCTTCAGCCAATGTGAAGAACAAGTTGCAGAGCAGAAATTTTCTTGGTCTTGTTTATGCCATAGACCACCACAATTGTGGGAACCAGTACATCGGTGAAACTGGAGATTTCAAGAAAAAGAGTTGAACACAAATATGATGCCACGAAATGACGTGTGGCCTCGACTGCCCTCGAACACACAGAATATACAGATCACCAAATAGACTTGTAAAACTTACGTGTTCTGGACGAAAAAAAGAAAAACATCTTCCCGGAGGGGCCACTCGAGTAAATGTGTCACAGAGTGGTGGGGGTATCGCGTGAATGCTGCACGTTTCGGTAAGGTTTGGGAATGCTTAATTGTTATTTCATCTCTATTATTCTTATTTATTGAATGAAGGAGAAGCGTGGCCTTCAACAAGTAGTGGCACACTGTTAGGTTGTGCCCCACTACTGGTTGAAGGTACTGTTGCTTCTATCGCATCTACTACAGTCAAGCAAAGCATGAAGTCAAGCGAAAGCCAAGTAAAGACGCCCTTGACTGAATTCCAACTCCCGATCAAGTGCCTACATATACGAGGTGGTCAGTGAACAGTTGTGCAGGGCGAGCAGTCGGTTTTTACGAGCAGACGCCGCCTGCAGCGGCCTTGCGAAACGAGAGAGTGGGGGGAGCAACAGTTCGCACGAGATGCAAGCATGTGCATTAGGGGTGTAGGCACCACCGCCGACGCCAGATTTGACAGTAAGTGCGACTATGAAATGCTCAGCATTTCAAAAAAGAAGCTTGCATCATGCCTGAACCTGGAATCCAGATACAGACTGTATATACATGGTACAGGATTGATGGGATTCTTCCGATGATGTTCTCTCGCTGCTTACGTCACGTATTTAGGCGTACCCAAGTATGCTGTGCCTTCCTTGTGGATTTTATTGTGAACAAGGCTCCCTCGCATATAAGGGGCTGAAACATCGGTAAACGCCATGTTCTACGAGTCAGTGTATCCTTTTGCGTTTACACTAAGACGCAAGAGTTATGCACCGTCTTTTTTTTTTTTTTTTTCACATGCCTTCTAGCAGCTCACTGCAGTTGCAGCTAAGAGAGAGAGTTTTTAAGCTTTCATCAATGTAATGCTTATTTTTGTTATGGTCGCACAAAACTGTCAGTTTCCATGACATGGGTCAGGATTTTCGGAAATTCCCTGACTTTTCCAGAAGGGTCTAAATTCCCTGACTTTTCCAGGTTTTCCAGGTTGGTAGACACCCTGAAGATCTTTTTTACTCCTTTACACCACAGGATATGTGCTACTAATAAGTGTTTAATTAAGAGATTATAAGTGCTATTTCGTTTCAAAACAGTTGCAAAGTGTCTTTAATTGATTTTTCATGTACCTGCGATCTACATTTTCCATTTCGGACAAAGGTCACACAATAGCAAAACAAAATACTGTATTTATACTGGATTGTTTTCTATGTGCACTGGATGAAGCCGCGACCACTATTAAATGTCAGTCTGTGCCCGTTCTTGCCCAGACAGTAACTGCAGGCCAGCTTAGTGTACGGCAACAATAACAAGTCTACCTTTGTATACAACATTTACCCATTATTACGAGCTGAATAAACATTTGGCAGTCGGCACTTTTTTTACAACCTGTCGCTGTAATCGTCCTTTCTAGTTTTCCACACCGATACACATGTTTGTATCCGATTTGAGGTTCTATTTGAAGAATAATGCACTGAAATGTCAGCTAAAATGCAAAAAGAATTTCAAAGTCACAATAAACAGAATCATTCAAGATACCCGCCACATTAAAATACGATGTGTGAGGAAACCCTTCTCAATCCGGCGACAACCCGAGCACAGCCATGCATCCATCAGTGCTCAGCTGGGGTAACTCGAGCGCCCCCTTATAGTCGCAGTTCGGAACGAGAGCCGGGGCAGGCAGCTCTGTAGAACCCTGGCCTAGGGGCCCCACCCACCTGTCTAACCCTTATTTTGTTGTTGTTTTTTCTCTGAAATAAACGGGTTTCCATCTACGTGTAGAACCCTGCCCGCAAGGCAGGTTAGGAGTACAGTGTGTGGTGGCCTTGCCTAACCTTGCCCAACGGCGCCGCTGCTGATGTTCACAATGGCAATGGAGGCTTTCGACTTCAGCTGCCCATTTTGCAAGGCTTTCACTTTTTTTTTCTGCCAATGACCGGTATACAAGACAATGGTTGACTTTTCATAAAGTTTTTTTTTATTCGACCTATATTCTGGTCTTTATAGTGAATACCACTGGTATATTATCCTCTACTTGAGCTGCAATTGTCAGCTACGCTTGAATGCTTTCACCTACACATAAAACATAAAATGAAAGCGGCGATGCTGTCAGCTTCGAATTTTATACTGAATCTCGCAGCAATGATGACGGCAAAAATCAAAATTGTGCATCCCAAAACACTGACTACCCTTTAGACCTAACAAGGCAAATGTTCAAGAACAGCCACATTCCACTATGCATGCCATACTTAGCCCTATCCCACTACTGCCATCCCTCAAAACTGAAGGAACATGCCCACAGAACAGATTTTTGTCCAATACATGTAGTCATCAGTCTGCAGTGACAAAAGCAGTCTTCCTTGTTTTTGTGTATCTGTAGATGGTACAAAAACGAGCAAGACTGCGTCTGCATGTTTCAGGCGATGCCTGCGATAGGTCAACAAAATTTATCAGCAAACTGCACCTGCACCCGTGGCCCTGGAACACTCAAAGCAAGCTTGCAGCCCGATTGCAACAATATAATACAGGTGTTCAAGTCTCTACTGTTACTGTGCCCCCTCCAAAGTGGACCATAAAATGGGAGACGTGGCCACCAGTGCCAGAATGTTTCTGGTGAGAGAAGAAGAGCATAAAGCAAGACAGAAAACGGTAGCTGCCAACGAACCTTTCAAGTTCCATGGGTGTTTCCTCATTTTTGACGTTTTATATAAACAATTTCGTGTAGCTTTAATTAGCAGCTTTTGTTTTACTGCAGATTTTGTTTAGTAATTGAGATGAGGCAGTTTATCTGAAGATTTATGGCTGCGATCGAACAATCGGAAAGACAGGTCAGAAATCAGGAGTCTTCAGGGCTAATCAGAAGAGTTCCCTAGTGCATTATTACAATGTAACTCGCCAAGTAAGAGCACATGTAGACAAATGTTTGCAACTTCCTGAGGAATACAAGTTTTCTTGTTTTCCGTCGACTCTGTGTTTTTAACTAGGTCTTTAAAGTAGACTTGGCATTCACCGGTGCACCTAAAGACCTGTTAATTGTGTCATGCTTTCATGGAGTGTTTAGGGGGACAGACATATGGCCTGCAATTCCATCCCATTCATGACCCACGGTAGTATACAAACTTTAAAAAGAGACATAAAAGGTTTATAAATGTTTTGGGGGTTTTATATACCAAAACCACAAAATGATTATGCAACATACCAAAAAGTAGCAGACTCCAAATTTGTTAGGGCTCCAACTCTCATTGTTACGCGTTTCTACCAGCCCTGCCATAATGGGCCTTAGCAGTAACTAGCTAGTGCCTTTTGAACCTCCTACTTCTATGCACTTATCAAGCCATAAACCAAAATGTTCTGTGCATGCTTCAATTTTCTGAGCCTATGCTTTTAACAAGTAAGCAAGCTATTCAAAGCACTCAACCAATGTCTCAGTGCAAGCACTCACTTTTTTGTTACGTGAAGTAACACTGCCAACTTCACACTAACTTTGTTTTCAGGAAGACTTGTAGAGCAAAGCTACAAAAAAAAAGAAAAAAGTGATGCTCACCTGTAGTCAGCGACGACAACGAACTCCTTAGCACATGATGCAATAATCTTCTCCTGAGTGAGGCATCCACCTCCTCCTTTGATGAGCGTAAGCTTAGCGTCAATTTCATCAGCACCATCTATTGCCACATTCAACTGGAATGAAGAAAGGAGACATAGGAAACATAGAAAGAGCTACTAAAATTGACACAGTGGCATTTTAACCACATGTGGAGTGCAGAATGTGCATGGCGTATATGTACCTTTGGTAGGATACACAGAATGGCACTAATATTGTCTCAGAATGTGCGCACGTGGCCAGTACACAGCTCACCTTGTATATCCCTTCAGCGCAGTGGCTACGCTGGTGTAAGCAAGTTGTTTATGCTAGTTGTGTAAACTTGTGGCCAGAAGAGAGCAAGATACATTGATCATTTATTGAGCTCAACCACTTCCATAGTTAATATGTCTTGACTTAAACTCGGTATGCTGCATATGACTGCAACCGATCGCTTTGGTGAAAGTACTACGATGTTTGCCAAGTTGTTCAACGTGCCATGTTCCAGAACTAACACCGAAAGTATTGTCTTTCTTTTCTCGAAATGAACACAACCAAAAACCAACTGCGCACACATTTGGAGCCTATGATTTAATTTTTTTAAGGTCAAAATAGAACATGACTGACTGCAGAATAATTAAATATTCAATTGCATGCTACTTACAAATAATGACCAGGTTAAACAAAATGCCTAGCTTCATTGTATTTTCAGAATTGTAATGAGTGCCTTGGTATAATTCTCTTATTTTAACATCCAAGTTATCAAAACTATTAAGAAAATATTAAACAATTGCCTATTATATTATTGCACTTTCATTTTCTTACCGAATACATAAATACCATATTTATTTTGCAGAATTGCAGCGTGAAAGCCGCAATTTTGGTCTTTCATAATTTCGTTCAAGATGTGAGCAAGGCTCAAGACCCCCCCAAGTCTTCAGCCAAAGCATGCTCTAAACCCATCAATTGTTACAAACCACCACCACCAACCCCAATAGGCGCACGACGACAATTTTTTTTTTTCTCGTAAAAATGGCCGGAAACTGATCACTAGTCCATCAAAATGTAGCCAGCGAATTTCATGCCAGCATGCACAGAGCACCTGAGGCACTTCCTCTTCAACAGTTTCGACCATGTTCCAGCTCCACGACACTACACGCACACTGTCCAAAGTCAAAACTAAGCTACTGAGTGCCGCATCCGCTGTGAACAAAACCATAGTCGCTGGCGTAACGATCATAGCATCTAAAATATTCTGAAAGGACCTGCACACCCTACTCCTAGATTCGGAACAAAACTTCACAGCACCGCATTTGCTGCTGGATAAACCTGGCTCCCTAATGCACAATCATGGATGGCGACTGTACAGTTCTGAAGGCATCTGGCCAAATCAAAACTACTGCTTATCGCTGCTTTGACCCCTGCAACTATCGGCGCGATCATAGACAGCACTCACACAGTTCCCCATTTTCAGAGTAAAATCGAAAACGAAATAACTTTGCCACAGTCACTAAAGCCTTCGCTGCCAACAACATGATTGTGGCAAGATTATATAAATGGTAACTATGCTTTTCTGAAGACTCATGACCATCTGCTTTTTGTAAACAACGTTTTTGCTCCCTTATGTCGCACATTCACAACAGTTCGTGCTTGACACACTCCAAGGACAGTCTGTATTAACCAGGCAGTGGGGAAGTAGTAAGAACGACAGTTTGATGCCATTGAAAAATACATATGATACATATGCCTACCGAGATCAGAGCACACGTCTGAATTATCAGAATTAATGACTTTTGACTTTATCTCCTTCCCCACCACTATTTCATCAAGTATACAGACACACACACCATACACGCACATTATAGAGAGAAAGAGAAATCTGGTAGGCTTTAAAGATAGTGGACCCTCATTTAACGGGGGGGGGGGGGGGGGGGGGAATGCAAGCCTGAAACTAGTTTGTAGTTGTTGAGTCAGTGCTCCTGTACCCATAATCTCACTACTACACTTCTTTTCGATAATCATAACTAATTGCGACTTTGCAGGAAAGACGCACAATTCTATTTTTCAGGATTCCAGTTTTCAATTGAATAGTGGGAAAATAAAGATGACAGGTGCCATTATGTAGCATTTGCGTCAGTGCTGTCAGAGTGAAAGGCAGCCTATAAGCATGTGTGGTACTTACCTCGGGACTTTCTTCCAGGTCTGTCATCACAAGACCATGTTTTCGAATCAGTTCTTTAGCCTAAAAATACAAAACGGTTTTGTGTGCAGCAAAGAACCAATGTAAAAAGAAGTGCTCAAAAAGGTGTAAGCCTTGTTAAAAATGAAATGACACATGTTACATTTGAGATTGCTTTATAAAAACAGTTCAAGGCACGCTTCTCTATTACTTGAACACAGCAAGAGATGAAACTCCTAGGCAGGCAGCTACATCAAGCACAGTCAAGATGACTTGATCAGTCTTGTCCAAATAGGAAGCTCGGACAACGAAGGTCCCTAGTAACACGTTAATATTTTGAATGTTTTGTTCGTATGCTGCAAAAACAAAATCTATCAGCAAGGTGCAGAGACCATATGCCGTGCTTTATATGTGGACATTAGAAAGCAGGAATACTCACGCCATGAAACAAAAGATGGTGGTTAATTTCAAGCGATTCACTTCTTAAGCATGCACTAAAAGTGTGCATCACATGCCTTGGTGCTTTAAATGCATCGGTGTTTAGGTACATTGGTGTTTTGAATACTAATAATTATCAAGTCCTATAATGATTTGCTGTCGACAATAACTTACTTGAAATGATGTAGGCACACAAGATATCTTCCATCCATGCTCTTTAACCCTGCGTGCTAGTGGAGAAAAGAAATAAAAGCGTTCACAAACCTGGAAAAGATAACGAAACACAGACAGGTGGGCACATCTTGTTCGGCAGCTCTGCGCATGTATGCGTGCCTATCCATGATGATAAGTGGACAGCACTCACTATATCATCGGAAAGGCATGCCGGCGTTCGTAATTCATTTGACGCTGATAGTACCGCACGAGCAACTCGATTGCGATCAAGGTGGCCATCTGCTCAATTTGGTGTAAATGCAAAGTAAAGCAACAATTTTTTAATAAGCACACAATTTCTTAATAATACGGCAACTAAGATCTTTAAAGGACTGCGAAATACTCTTTATATGCATATCGCTATGCTGCATGCTTCACGTAGAAACTTCCCAGTAAAAAAAAATTTGACATGAAATCCAAAATATTAACTTTGGTATGTATGTAATACTTTAGTTAGTAAACGACACATAATTGATTCCTCGATAATCTTGTAAACCAATTTTCATATGCCCACATTACCAGGAATTATTTCATTATTCAATGTGAAAACACATATACAGTGGAGAGAAAAAAAGAAGAAGACTGGCAACTGCCAATGAAAAGGGCACAATGACTGCCTACATTTTAGAAAGAAGAGAATAGAAGCACAGACAGCGAAAAAGGTAAGAAAAGACAGAAAGAACAAAAGAATCAAGAAAATAAAAATTGCTGGGGCTTTGTGTGCCCACCCAAAATGATTGTGAGGCACACCATAGTAAGGTACTCTTGGCTAAATTTCAACTACTTGGGGTTATTTTATATACACTTAAACTGAAAGTACAAGGGTGCTCAGCACTTCACCTCCATCGAACTGCGGCCACCATGAGCAGTAATCTTGGGAATTGAACCCATGTCCGCAAGTTTAGCAGTGCAACGTAAAACAATAAGATTAAAGATCGCAGATTAAAATAAAAACAAAAAAAGAAATGCCAGGCTTGCAGAGAACACTGAACACCGTCATGGTAAAGGCTTGAAGAGTGGCCTTTTTAGAAGGGTGGATGGATGAATGAACTTTATGTGGTCCCTTGGAACGTGCTTTAGCACCTTAGGGGCCGCTCCCACATCCAAACAGAACCACCAAATGTCTACTGCACTGCGGGCCCATTAGGACTGCCCATGAGCCAATTGCAAACTCTCTTGAGGCAACTACTAAATGTACACTTGCAAGGTAACCATCACGCCAAAAATCAATTTTTATGAAGCATGGAAGCACCCAAGTCATTCGTCATTTCATGAAGAAGCGAGGTACACGCTGCACATGTGCAAGCCGTTACGTGCACTTTGCCGATGCTGTGGCTAATGACTGTGAATTACGCCCGAGTACTCTATGTTTGGTTGAAAGCTTTGAACAATCACTCATCACACAATTAACATTATATAATGCCTCGTTATTATTTTACTCCTCTATCACACTAAGTTACATATATTAACATGATATCTGACCCAGAAGAGAAACAGTTTAAAGCCCCGGTGTGGCTTTGTGGTAATAATACTCGAGTACCATGCAGACAGCCCGGGCTCAGATCCCATCAGATCCTGTTGTCTCTGTTTTTTTTCCCACTTTGAGAGTGGTTACAAACACCAGTGGCAATGGACAACAATGCCACCAAACTTGGCTGTTGTGAACTCGTAACCGCTTTCGTTGTAAAAAAAAATCAAGCAAAGTAGTGTCATGAACATGTCGATTGGTGGTAGAAGAGCGTGAAGAGGAAGAACAATTGAGAGAAAAGAACAATTTCAATAGAGGAGAAATTAAAAAAAGAGGGGAAGACGAGAAAGAAAAGAAGGGCACGGGCGACGACGTGGCCGGGACAAATGGAGGCGCCGGGTTTTTTAATGCAGGCGTGCACGGACAAGGGGTCGAAGCGGCACGGTGTTTGCCGGAACCCCACGGGCACAGCTCCTAGCAAGGACGTGTCCCAACCTTCGCAGCAACGCCCTGTGAGCTTCGAGGCGCAGCCAGGAGTTCGGCCAGCTCGGCCCAGCGACTGCAACCCCGTTGTCACGTGCCAGATCTACTGCAGCCAAGCTCCGTAAGTGGCGCACCAAGAACGAGAAGTGGTACAGCCACTGTGGGGACCCGACGCTGCGGTGACCGAACACCGTAGCCACCCCACAGTACAGCTTACGGCCGGGACCATCGATGCAACGAGCTTCGCAGACGGGACGAGCCGTACTACTTGACGCCGGAGCCAAGTTAAGGCTACGCACTTTGGACTCTGTAAATTTGACTGTCTAGTCTTGTATGCGCGTGGGGGGTGGGGAACCGTTCTAGCGTATGTAACATGTCCTTTGTGAATAAGGTTCTTCTCCATTCAGTTTCATTATCATAAACGGTTTTTCGTGTTTCTTGCTGTTCCTGTCTCGAACATCTATAGAGACTATGACAAGCAGCCGGAACATGAAAGGAAAAGCCTAGAACTAGTAGGAGGAAATGATTGAAATAGGTTTATTATTGTATAATCCCTTTTAGAGCTGCATTTATTTATTTTTTTCTCATGTGCTCATATAACACTAACTTTTTACTGTGAATAATTAAACCATTAGACAGTGTCATTGCAAATAACCTGGAAGAAATTCTTCAATAAATGTGGTACTTTGTTAAAACCTGGTAATCTGAAATCCTTATTTTATTTATATTCTCACTAAACCAAGGCTCATCTGTATTAAGCGGGTAGATACATTGATCGATAAAATTTTACCTTGTATACAATATAAAGCGAACCTCTGGGGGTAGGAAATGCTAAACGTGCAATACAGCAAATAAATTAAATTTTCCATACCTAGATGCTCAACTGCATAAACAACTGTACTTCCACTTCCGATGCCGACAATGTAGTTGTTCTGCAAGGTGTAGGTCACATGCTATTAACACAAACAGCACATTATTAACAACATACATCAGAAAATTCGAGCAATTCAAAACTGTCTTGCCTCCTTTATGAGACAAACGAAAGTGCTATAAGGCTCTTCCTTTTCTATACAAAATGCCAATTGTCCAACCTTGAGAGCGTAGCAGCACTTTTTTTTTTTTCATGACCTCATGGCAGACCACATTGATGTACATGCTTCCTTCCCTATAAATATTTAGTTATGGTAATGCCATGACAGCCAACTACAGAGTTTAACTTTATAATTGTTTCTTCCTTGCTCATTGATTTAACTTTTTTGTCTTATGAGCTGCATTAATGAACACCCTATTGCCAGCATTTGTCACATGGCTGGGCGCCAAAGAAATTAATAAATAAAAGAGAAAGAAACCCCATGATATACATACAACTACTTGTTCCATAGCGAACTATGCATTGGAATATTCGAACTGCACCTCAAGTCAACTCTAGATTTTTTTTCCCAGCTTCAATTTCATTATTGAATACCACGGCCATTCCAAAACGTATTAAAACAGGTATCATCAATTTCTTAAAGGGGCTGACATCAGGTTTTCCTTGACCCACGTTTTATGGCGCAACAGTAAGCTCAACCTTGGTAGTGTTTGTAGCTGAAGTAATTAATCCCAAAAGCACGTGGTTATTGTACAAGCAGTATTTCACGAGAAGTATAAAGGGTCTAAACACAGATGTACTTTTCCTCCAAAAACACTGTAAATTTCTGACAGTACCGCCAGCCCTTCTTGCAAATTGTGAAAGCAGTTCTGCTTTTCCACGAGTGCCTGCAACTCTACCTAAGCACCTTTATTTTGAGCTATTCAACTACTTTTAGGTATAGTTTGGTTTTTATGGTACATAGGCAGCTTAGGCTATCATGCACCAAATGCATGGTATGATCAACTACTTTTAAAAATAAGCTATTACAATGACAAGATGCTGCATTATACACTTTCCCTGAATTTGTATCGTGCTGTATACGCGTTGCGAGCGCTTGTGCCCAAGGTTCGCTGCACCTGTGTTATGTGTGGCTAGTCCCATCTTCCTTACTCTCTCAATACACGAGCCAAGTCAAGGCATCAGAAACACCACCATGCATATGCACGGCCGTACTGAGTAGTAGTGCACGTCATTTCTGAAACGAATTGTAGATAGAGAAACTGCATCGTTCCAAAATATTAGCGGCCTGAAAACTGTGTGCATAGTTGCATGAGCACGCTGAAAAGTTGCATCAACATTACATCACGCGAAGGCAGCGCCACAGTATTGTCAAGTTTATTAAATCATTCAGTTCACTTATGCGTTTAGAATATTAGAGCAGGAGGCCTCGAAGTTTCAGAGAAACTGAAAGGGGTCCTGCTATGGCTACATGAGTGGAGTATTTACACAAAATAAACAAAAGAATCAAATGTGTAAGTAATGATTAATGAGCTTGATTAACAATAACAATAGTTAATACATAACATAATGGTAATAGTACTAAAAAAGTACATGAAAATAATCAAAAGCAAAATTAATGAACAGATCTACATGACAAATACAACTAGTTATCAGAGGTACGAGTTATACAAAAGCAATTAAATAAGAAACTAGCAAAGAAATATTGAGAGTTATTGACAGTTAATTACAAAATTTAGATAAATTGATGAATCCATGAACAAAAATATGTTTTACTGTGCGAGGTAAAAATCGGAAAGTTGTACGACGATTTTCAAAAGGCAATGAATTCCAAATAGCTATGCTTGTAAACAGGGTTGCGAACTTGTCGCAGTTTGTCCTTACGGCCAGCAAAAGCAAATTACCATGCTGGGGAAACGGGGTAATATTGCTATTGGTTAAGTGATAATGATCAATGCAAGCAATGACAATGTCATGCACAACAAGCCTATTAGCGACTATGGACAGTCTGTGGCAAAGCAATTGCCTTGATGAGAGTATGTTAAGCATTGGAAACGGTGAGGTACAGGACGAGTCGAATGGGCCAAAATTCGCTGCAATCATTTAATGTGTGTCAAATATCTGTTGGACCAAGATGATACAAAATACTAAATATTACTATGAATGCATATAAAATACAAAGAATGTACGATGCAAGACAGAAAATATGTGTGTATCTCAATGATAACAGTGATTCCACATGCGATCTTTTTAATGAGTGAAGCAGAATGTTTAGAAAATTTTAGTTCAATACCTAAGATGACTCCAAGAAACCGCGCTGTACTAGAAGTTTTGACGACGTTATTGCCGTTGTGAAGGGAAAGTCACAAATGCATTCTAATAATGCAGGCCTATATGTACATTTTTATGAAGTAATATCTTTTATTTTTATGAAATAAGAACTTAAACAATATTTCTACACTAACAAAAAAAATCATCGATAGCAATCAGTGATCGCATGGCCAAGTACATTAAATCGTCCATGCCTTTGCCACCAGAGGCTCCACAGGTTATTTTTTCTTCAAGAACTTTAAATAAAAAAAATAAAAATACAAATCCACTTCTCTCCCCCCCCTCCCCAAAAAAAAAAAAAAACAGGGTTGGTTAGGTCAATGTGACAGCCAACTTTTCATAAGTAGAGACTTTTCATTTCATATTCTGGGCAGTTGTCGGTCCATTTATTCCAGTGATAATACTAGCAAAACAAAGCATCACACTAGCCACGATCAAGTGCGCTCCGTTAGGAACGAGTAAAGTACAAGAAGTCTTGTGTCCTGTATTTTATTCGTTCTGCACTGTGTCTGTTAACTAAGCCCACTTTTAAAGATCAATAAACACCAACTAGCTGATCTTATAGCTCTCTTCAATGACAATCTTTAAGGCCACTCAAGAGCCTGTGATGGGTTTTTGAAGGCTGCAAAGTGCCATCCCAAATAGTGATCTCTTAATATGTATAATATTCCAAAACAATATTGATAGCTTTATTGCACTAGAAAAACAAAAATTACTAGAAATGTCCCACTTCGTTCCAATAAAGTTCTGAAGATGCACGAAAGTTTACAGCATTAATGCAACTGGACTTCTCTAGTGTTGGCTGAACAATGTGCTTCAGTTTCCGACTTCCCTGCTGTCCATCTTCACAAAGACTGACATTCAATGCTGGCACAAGAAGTAAATTAGCAGTAGCTGCCGCAACTTCCTTTGTTTTATTCTTCAGATAGTAATTTTTGCCTCAGACAGTTCAACTGCCTAGAGTCGAAGAATCAAATATGATGGCTGAACGAGACTTTACTAGCTATAAGCGACGCTGACCAGAAGTTGGTTGGAATAAACATTTTTTACGATTTCAGATATAGGAGAACAGTTCCATGCCATATCTACAGCATTCTACAGTATGATGGGCTGCAGGCTGTGCACAATAAAAGGAAGCTGTTGTGCTGCCTTGACAAACGTAGGCCTATGTGCAAATCTTGCTAGTATGTGTACCAGTCTACAGTGGCGTACCATCTCTTTCGCGAGTGGGGGGGGGGGGTCAAACCTCATTCGTCAGCCAAGATATATATCTGGAGAGAGGACATCCACACGCTGGCACTTTGACATGAATTAGCATACACAGAAGTGACACGATGCGCATTCTTAGACACCACGAAGTTGAATAACACTTTAACAGGCCAAGGGATGGTCCCCTTAGCCCAATTTCCGCGTCCAGAATGAGACGCTCATCTTGCCATCACGCCTCACTCTCCGATTACGCTTTGGCAGTTAACATCTACAGATACCACAACACTTTGTTTAATGAATTTATTATCGACGTTACTCGTAGGAATTGAAATGAACCAAGCGTCAACGAGGATACATCCACGTTGAACAGGGCTATAGCTGCCCAACACCGAAACATACATTCGGCAAATCCTCCGCTATCAATGTGCAGTAAGCATTTATTTACCACTGTAAAGGTGCGTTTTATTTTCCTGTGATATGCCGACTTCTATGACAGAAGGATCAACCATGTTTTTTCAACGAATCATTGCCGTTATATTTTTTTCATAATAAGTATTGCGCTTTCTTGCATACATTCAGGCGTGTGTGTGTGTGTATTATAATTGGCCTTGTTCGCTATTAGTCTGAACACTGTTTGTATAGAATCTTATACAAAGTAGACATTTTCCCAATGCACAATGACAGCAAACAATTTCAGTGCAGGGCCGTGTAGCCCACAAGCATCGAAAATGAGCCTCGAAGACCAATATGAAATGTGAAAGCTAAAGAACAAAATGAGAAAGAAAGTTCAAATAATTAATCATTTTTCCAGTGATATTAAAATTAATATTTTAGACTTTATGCATTTCATAAGGTGCTTTGTCAGACGAGATCCACGAGCAAGATGTCCTACATTAACAAGTACTTACAGGTACAATTTTTTTTTTCTTCGTGTGAAATTTTCACTAACATAAGCATGTTTAATTGTGCGAATTCATTTAATGAAGCAATCTACCAAACCACGAAACTGTCTTTGTATACCGAGGTGCCAAAACTACTCAATAGTGAAGACAGTTTTGCCCCCCCCCCTTTTTTTTCTTTTTTTAATTGTTCATAAGACACCTCATACTAACGTACCTGCTTATTACATTCTAGCAATTAGTAGAGTAGGGCCTTCTTACGGTGAATGCGCACACTGTTCTTTATCCCTTTTGCTTCGTACAGTTGGTGAAAAAGCCGAACAGATTACCAAAATCAATTCGACCACATGCTACATGCGTGCTATCCTACAAAGAACAGGTGTGTTAAATGTTCTCCAATTGAATTTTTTTTTCATTACTGCCTCACTTTGTTTTTTATTCCATGAACACTCAGGGCCTACTTATAGCATAGTATGGCTTTGGTAATCTGTATTAGTGAATGCCATCTCCAAGTCCCACTTTTTTTTTCTTAAAAATAAACAATTGTTGCACTTCATGCAAGCACAGCGATTCAGATATGTGCTACTCAGTCGTACGTTCAGCTAACGCAAAACTTCGAGGGTCAACTTTTATCTTATATTTCTGGCTGCTTGCCAGTCAACAACCAAGTGTGAAGATAGGGCAGAAGGCTCATAGCTTCACAGCCATCGTCATTTTATTATTACAAAATTTACTACTTGGATAAATTTAAGTGCTCATTTATCAGTAACGAGGACGCCGTTCCAACAAGCGAACTGAAAGCAAGCGCTCCTACGTACGCAACATGAACACACTTGAAAACGTGCTCGGTGCAGCGACGTAAGTAAAGCGCGAAGATACAATAAGGGCCTGTTACTTCTGATCAGCAGCAAGCAGATATTCACTCCTGGGCAACACAAGAAAACAGAATGCAAAGCATGCATATGCGAAATAACTTCGTAACTTTTCGCACAAACTACCACAAATTGCGGTTGCCGTTGCCACCCTCGCGCGGCCGGCCGGCGACCGCTTACCTTGATGTGGTTGTCAACTGCTCTCTGCGCTGCGGCTTCCTTGGCCTTCTCAACAAGATCCATTTTGACAACTGAGCTACGCGTGGGCTGGGTGGGTACGTTATATGCTATTCGCGAATCAGTCACGTAGGGACAAGCAAATCGCGCATTGGCCAAGCAAAAAGCTAAAGACCTTAACCCTCGAAGGTGAAACTTATCTGAAAAGAGAACCACCATTATCTTAAGCGCCCTCTACTGCTGATGGCGGTCACCAGACTGCTGATAAAATGGCAGCGCGTAATTCAAAAAAACACCTGCGCATAAGATTACTTAACGCGCTCCGCCCCTAATAATACAGTGCGCCTGTCATTCACCTCTGCAACAGAGTAATGATTGGTGATTTCCGTTTGAACCATAAGCACTTTTTTCCTGATAATAGAAATACCACGCATATTATGGTTTTAAAAGCTCATCGTTTCTTGTTAAAATGTTACGTTTGGCAGAACAGTCAAATCAGAATATTCGATGAAATTTGCCAACAAGTAAAAGCTTTCGACCGAAAACTATCTAAATGAACACATGCCTATGCGGCCTATTCATATACCTGAAATTCGCGAAAGGTCCTGACATCACGTAAATTAGCGCTTGCAATTAGTGGAATATTTAAGAAAATCGTGCCTGGGTGGGACGGTGACCACTGTGGGCCGAGCTTACATTTATTCTTAGGCTGTAACCGACTATACTTGTATACTAGGTGACAAGCATGTAGGTGTTTATCACAGCGTATTCATTCTAAATTCATCAAACTGTTATTTTAAACAAGCAGCTTTAGAATCGTGTACCCAAAACTTTGGGTACCCGATCGAAAAAATAAATTTGCGATTATCTAAAAATGTAACTTCATCAGCTTTTTCGAAAGGCATAATCACCCAATCAATGCACTCTCAATGCTTCTTTGTTACTTCATATACCGTCTAGCATGCCTGCGCACTTCTGTTTAGCTTTACTCATTGCCCTGCAGAATTTGACACTTTTTAACGTGATAGCGTTGAAGAGCTTGTTTCGCAGAAATTCCTATGTCGATGCCGGCGTTGTTGGGTGTGAGCGAAAAATGATTTTGTCCGTCACCAAAAATTAAAAGAAAAGCGTGCAATTAAAATAAATATTACAAGCATTGGGCATTGGGTTCGAGTGAGAATCAAGCGAAGCCCATTTTTATAGTAGGCAAGTGTTCTACTTTACAGCTAGACAACTCCGTGAAAAAGTTTCGAGGAAAAAAAACACTATGAATTTCATGTATTGGAAGGAGTCTCCTGAACGGATGTAATTACTTTGAGGGGGGGGGGGGGGTGCCATTGCTGAAGAGCTTGACTATTTCAGAAAAAAACCATTCATTGTTGGTAAAACACCTCCTCCATTAGAATTTCGGGGAAAGGGTGGGCCCGGATGTCACCCTCCCTGGGTACGGGTGTGATACATACATACATACATACATACATACATACATACATACATACATACATACATACATACATACATACATACATACATACATACATACATACATACATACATACATACGTACGTACGTACGTACGTACGTACGTACGTACATACATACATACATACATACATACATACATACATACATACATACATACATTACATACATACATACATACATACATACATACATACATACATACATACATACATACATACATACATACATACATACATACATACATACATACATACATCTCGCGTCGAACCGAAAAAGTACGCATATGCACACCCTTTTTAAGAATAAAGAAGAAATCACTTGGTTCACACGTTAAAAAATTGAGGGACCCTTAAGCTTCGCCCTTAAGAGATGAACGCGATAGTGAAATCCGGCCCCTAGTGCGCCGTTCAACCGCTAAGGAACACTTATTAATATGTTTTGTTACACACACACACACACACGTACGCACACAGTAGATCGTACCAGCGCGCGCGCGCGACTGGTTAAGGATGTCATACCGGAGTTAAGGATATCATAATTTAAATGAAGAAGGATTTCCGGGCACGTAGCGCGTAGGCAGGATAATCGCTAATCATTAACTGACTAGATTCTCAGAGAAGGCAAACGCGTGAAGGGCAGACAGAAAGTTAGGTGGGCCTATGAGGTAAAAAAGTTTGCAGGTATATAACGTGGCACCAGAAAGCGCAAAACCGGGTTGATTGGCAGGTCATGGTGGAGGCCTTTGCCTTGCAGTGGGTGTAGTCGGGCTGATGATGATGATAAAGGGAATACGCCCGCTCCAGGGACACAGCACAACGAACCGTTTACTTATGTCTGTCAAGATGGTGCACGCGCCGGCGCTCTCTACCGCACTCTTATCCTTGTCCTGGCGTTTCATCATGCTTTGACGCCCGATGAAAGATGGGCAAGGCGTTCCCTTCCTGCTTGGGGCAGCGGCGTTGGCAGAAATATTTTTCGTGGGTGAGGAGGGCTCCTCCTAATTTTCGTAGAGAGGAGGGGGGGCACCTCCATGAAATGGTCATTTTTCGCTATGTATGCCATACAAAAAAATTTCGGTTGGGGCAGGGGGGGGGGGGGGGGGGTCACGGGCCTGTTGTGTTACTTCTAGCTACGCCACTGGCTTAGTGAACAATCGATGGCAGGCTGGGCACAGGTGGGTAGACGTTAACGCAAGCGGCCTCCGTGCGACGTAAATGACCAGTTCTTTTCATCTCTATTTCAGTCGTGCGAGCCTTCGCGAGGTTTTCCTCGTCGGTATAACATAAGATGAGCCGGATTATGTTGTGGACTTGGGTTTTACACGGCAAATGATAGTGACGGCGACGCCAGTGGCAAGAATCCGCCGAGAGTGTTCATATAATTTCTACCGCCATAATAATTCGGGCATCCAGCGTAGGGGACGTGAACGCTAATGATAAAAAAAAAATCACTACCTTCATGAAAGTCTCGTGAAAGTACATGTATGATTTTGCTGGACTCTTCTTAGCGTTAGCAAAAGGGGCCATCAATTTTTCATAAACCTATCGAGCATGGCAATACCGCAAACATTTATAGGGATGTTCGAAAGCGAAGTCTTCCCATCGGTTCGTATATACGATAAATTCTATCTAAATATCTGCAATCAAATTGAAAGTGTTCCACTCCTCAAGTGACGTTATCTACTCATATCACATTCAAATATAAAATCTACAGGGTGTCGCAGCTAAAAAGCACCAAGTGGTAAAAAATTAAACATGAGCGCTACACGTCTCCAATTAACGCAGTACCATTCTAAACCCTATAGAGTACGTCAGAATATTTTTTTCCGATCTGCCAAGCTCGGCAATCAATAAAAATGACTTTGCTTTTTAAATAGTGACTCTAGCGAAAAATATTCAACACAAAGCTTGTGGCGCTCATCCAGAAATGATAAAACTTTCCGTCTGCAGCGAGATAACTGCGCTGCTTAATTTTTTTCTCGAGATTTAAAAAAAAAACAAAGTGATTGTCGCCTAGCGCGTGGTGTTTTCAGTGTCCTCAAATGTAAGTTCTAGAAATTCTTAAAGACTGCTCACGCATGAAGGTCGCTTGAAAAGGCTATCGGTGATTACGGGGGACGTTAAGTGATGGTAGGACGGTACCGTTAAAAATAGAAGAAAAAGAAAAGAACTTCGACGAAAAAGCGGCCGCCACGTACGATTGCGATATGAGACTGTAGGCATTATTCAATGCAGCGTCGGTATTTTTTTTTCTTTTCTTTTCGGGCTGACGATAAACATGATGGAGGGGAAGAGGGTGACATTGTGGTAAAGGAGGGCTATAGTAGAAAGCAGGATGGGAATAATTCTACGAAACTTTTTGTCATATTTTCATCGTATTTCGTGCGATTGCTGTTCTGTATACTTGCAAGCAACATGGCACGATTGCCTGTGGGTTCAAAAGTTAATTGCTCGTACGTATACTCCATTTAGAATATAATGTTTAGTAGTCGTCTGTTAGAGCGCAATGCATACAAATAAGCAGAACGAATAAAAAAAGCGTTCAGCGCTATAATAGGTAATTCTTAAATGACAGGAGAGGTATAGGTTTTAAAAAGAGATCAGCTTAATTTCAATCCAAAGTGATTTTACTGAAACATCACGGCCAGTTACGTAAGGTGCTTAAACAGCCCTCTATCGGCCTCTATGCACAACCTGCACCGAGTCAAGACATTTTCTGTCGCGTGTCGCAGCATTCCTGGAGTAAATTAGTGGCACACATCTGCTAGTTTAGGCTTCAGTCTCTCTGGCGTTGTCGTCGCTTCGGTGTAGGCACAATTGCAAGCTGCAGTGTGATGTCTTGAAAAAATGGCCACAAGTGTAGACACCACATAGGAATATTATTTCGTGAGAAAGAAGGTGAGCGACCTATAAGAAGATTGAAGTCATAACGAAGCATGGTGCCCTGGGCATGTCTCGCGCGCCACTGTTTTTACGTTTCCGATAGCTGTTGTCGCAACCAAACATAGCGCAGTGGTAGCCTGTGCGGTTCCATTCCGACATTTCGATTTTCGGCAACACAATCGCTTTAGCGCGTCGAAAAACGAAACACATTGACATATATCTTGCACCCCGCTATGTGAAACGTCCGCACACACCAGCGGCAGCGATCGGACGATCGAATACGCGGAGGGGGAGAGTGATTAAAATACACCAGTAGGCTACGCTCAGCTTAGTGGGGGGGGGGGGGGGGGGTGCCTAAAGTAACACCGTAGAAGGGGCCTTTTTGTTTTTACTAGCATAAAAACCCCTTCCTAGCGTGAATATTGTCCTAACTGGTGAATTGGTGATAGGTGGTGGTCTGCGACAACTGAATAGAGGGGGGGGGGAGGGTGCTGAGTCTCCTCACAGAGAGTCTAGAGGGGGGTGATCACTCCCCCTCTCTCTCTGGATCCGCCACTGGGTACGCTCCTCCTCTCAGAATGGCGCCTATCACTCTCATTGTTTGCGTTTCTTCTTAAGAGGCACATCTCCATATTTTACAACAGTTTTTTAAATGATTTTTTTAGGCCGATATTCTAAACGCTGCCCACTTATTTCGATGGCTGACCAGTTATTCTCGTCCACACTGCACACAGGCGCACACCGGTTTCTCCACTGGGGGAGGGTGACGAAGACAGCGGAGTCAGCACTGGAACCACAACTGATTTTAACCCGTCATGATGCCTTTATGATACGATTAAATATGTAATGTTC